TGAGTGTATACATTACACTATTACTACCAGTTATTCATATATATATCTTTCTCGCATTTACAATTATAAATATGAATATCGTTATTGATATACAAGGATTCAAGAATACGGAGGAAGATTTTTTTCCAAAAGAAGTTGCTATTGTCTCCATAAATAACGACCATTGCGCTCATTGGATTATTGCACAACCATACTCCTTTACCGAGCTATCAACCCGTTCAAAATCTCAAAACAATTGGCTCAGTAAAAATTTCCATGGTATTGAATGGTTTGAAGGAGATACACCATACAAAAACTTATGTCGACATTTGAGGACAATTGCACAATTTACGAACCGAATATTCATAAGAGGCCGAGATAAATCAGCTTTTCTCCATCGTATTACAAGTAGAAACATTATAAATTTAGAAGAAGAGGAGAAATGTCCACCATTTCATCAATTACCGCAGTTAAAGCAAACGTGCCTCATCCATAGTATAAAAATCAAGACAAATAATCGGGAATATACATGTGCTTTAAATAATGCATTGCGGATAAGAAAGTGGATTAAAGATTACGCCTTTCTGGATTCTGCATCTTTGTCAACACCGTTGTCGCCTCCATCTCCATCGTTTTCTATGATGTGGTATAACCGCGATAATAGTCATAATACAAAAGAAGAAGAAGAAAATAATTCTCTTGAAAATTCTTGGTGGCTATGAATAGTTTGCAATTACGGGCTGCTTTACAAAATATACCCTGCGATACTATAGGCATTTATGCTGCGGACGAGATACCTACGTTTTGGAGTAAACCTGCTGCTATTATCGTTAATACTGACGACCATACAAAACCTGGAACACATTGGGTCGCTATGTACGTCGGACGGGACGGCGTCGGACACTATTTCAACAGCTACGGGTTACCACCTATCATCCCACAGCATCTCACCCGCTATAGAAAAAACTGTAAAACCTTATTTTACAACACTCAACAATTTCAAAGTAATACCTCTGATGTATGTGGACAATTTTGTGTTATGTTTGTGCACTTTATGTGTACTGGTTTTGGGATGCATCAGTTTCGTAATGTTTTTTCGAACAATTTATCAAGAAATGACAAAATAGTACGCGATTATTACAATTCATATATGAGGCGTCATTATATTTCTAAAGAAAATCAATTTATAGGCCGTGGGATTTCTAATTCAAATGTTGTATCACGAACGCAGAGCTGTTATTCGCGAAAATAAGAATAAATGTTTAACATAGTTTTACATAAGTATATAATTTAATAAAAAAAACTTGTAACCATGCATTATTATATGTCCAATAAATAAATAAATATATATAAATTTTGAAATTTAATAAAATTGTAATCATTAATATGTCTTCAATAAAATAAGTACATATACATTTATAATTCAATAAAATATTTCTATAACCCCTTCATTACATTTAGCTATTAGTTACAACTATCGTCTCGTATAATAGCAGTACTATGGGGACACATCGATGTTGTAGTAATAGTAGTAGAGAGAGAATGAATATCATCTCGTAAAATAGTAGCACTATAGGGAACCGATAGCGGTACCAGCGTCGTAGTGGTGGGGATGACGTCGATAGTAGAGGGATTACTAATATTTCGTAAAATAGCATCACTATGGGAAGCCGAACGACCCACTGGCGTCGTAGTGGTGGGGATGCCAGTAGTAGAGGGGTGCGATCATTTCGTAACATAGTACCACTATGGGGAGCCGCCCGTACCACTGGCGCCGTAGTGGAGGAGGATGTCGCCAGTGACGTCACAGGCGGCTCCCCATAGTGGTACTACACTACTAAGGTACTTTGCTGTAAATAAATATTTGGTCTTTATGATTAACACTTTATTTCAGTATTCCAAATTCTATTATTTTTATACTTATTTATAAAAAATTTATGATCAGTCACATATAAAAAACAATACTAAAATAGTTTTCTATTTTAAATATGTATATATATTTTTCTAAGATACATTATATGAATCTTCTATTTGCTATATTAATGGACGGCTTTGCGATATGTAACAATATTATTGTATACAAAAAATATTCATGCAATGTTAAAATAAGTATATTAGATTTTATAAAAAAAAATTAAATATTTTCAAACTATCTAAAGATATGATACTTAACCGTACATATATGTATATAAATGGATAAGTATCATGTGATGTACGTATATGCAAAACAAAATAAAAACTGTTATATATAAGTCAGTATATACCTAATTTGTATTCATCTTAAAATAAATGCACTCATTACTATATTAGTTTCGAGATAACAACAAGTTATTTTAAAACTAATACTATATGCGGATATTCTAATAAAAATTAAAATTAGTGCGTTAAATTCGACTGAATTGTACATTCGACTTACGCTGCAAATTTTATTTTTTTCAGGGTACTCTTGAACCTGTTCTACAATGTATATTTTGTTTCCTGTTTCTTACTTTTTGTTATTTTTTACATCTTGTCTTTTTGCCTCTTATTCCGTTTTTCGTTTTCTATCGCTCGAGATAAATTTATCGAACTTCGGAAGAAACAAGAAATATGTGGCAAGAAATATAATTATCAATAAAATAGTTGCAAAGAGGGAAGAAAGAATTACAAAACAAAGATCACATTGTAGAATAGATTTCAAAGTTTCCAATATCAAAAGGTAAGAACCAAATGACAAATGATAAATATTATCAATAAAACAATGCTTAAAATTTACTTGCACACATACAGTTTATCGTAGTTATATATTCAGATTAATGCTACCCAAATTATAATCTGACATTATTTATCGTCACTTTGACGTCAAAATTATGACAAATAGCGTCAACTTGCTATTTGAATGTAAATCGATTTACACTATCAATATTGCAAATTTATTGTATGTTAGCTTGCAGCCGAATTGCACATTTCGATCAATCTTACTTAATGTCATAGCATCTAGACTGCACTCGAAGACATCAAACACTCAAGCTCAGGGATGACATTAGCTCTAAATTATACAGAGCACTATAGGACTACGACTAAAACACAATTGCTTCGCATTCACTGTTCAAAGTCTTATTATTATTGTTTTATGAAGATAAAAATAACATTTCAAAATAGAGCACGTACGTTAATCAAGTAATTGTTAATTTTTTCATTTTTGCATGTTCTAAAAAATCCATTATGTGTCTTTAAATTAAAATTAACATTTTATTTTTTACAATGTGCAGTAGTGGATTGAACGGTTGCAACACTATAGTAAATGGATTTCGAAACGCAGCCTTGCTCTTAGAGAGATTAAATGTAAATGGTTAGAGTAAATATAAAAATCACTCAGCGAACAAGCTGCATTCTGAAACTCATAAAAAAAGTATTACAACCGTTCTGTCCACTACTGTACATACATACTTGATTAGTGTACGTGTTCTATTTGGAAATGTTGCTTTTAACTTTATAACATAATAATAATAATAATAATAATGTAATAATAATAAAACAGCAAGGAGCAATATGATTCAAAGCTCAATACTCTATAGTCCTATAGTGCCCTATATAATTTACAACTGATCGATGTCATCCCTGATGTCAAGCGTTTGATGTTTTCAAGCATAATCTAGATACTATGACAACATGCAAAATTGATTAAATGGGCCATCTGGTGTAGTAAACCTAGTGGCTAGTATATACAATGTTTGCCATATATTTTTGATACTAATAGTGTATATTGAAATACGGTCCTAATAGAGCTTCACTAATTGAACAATGTAAAGTATATGCTTTTATACATGGCATTATGTAAGTGTGTTATGTACTATATATACATGTACAAGTTTTATCAATTTAGTAGCTATTTCAAGATAAATATAACCTTAATATTTTCATATCAAAAGCCTTATTCTTCAAAAATAAACTTAAACTTTGAATCAGGAGACGCGGTAGTGTATCCGACCATGTTTAAAAAACTACTAGTTAATTTGAAAGATTAATAATAGACACTACAAGTCTCTTATCCCGAGAATTATCACTAAAGTACGTTCTTCGAGGGGGGGGGGGTGTATAACTACTAAAATATAAACATTTTTTAATCGAACGTTATATGTCCTGAAAGGCGGCATCGCCACAAGTAATTTGAGCCAAAAAAATTTTTAATTGGTCAAGTCGTTTTGAAGATACAAGCGATCGAAATGTGATGATTTTAATGAAAAATTAAGAAATGTCTCCTTTTCTGTTTGTATGAAATTATAACTTTTTAACATCCCCTCTCACCTTTCACTCACACCTACACTATTTTCGACCCACCGCACCCCCTCCCTGCTCCCCCCTTCCATCCACCTCCGCCACTCCACTCTTTCACCGTATTTCACTCTTTCGTTATATAATATTTTTAAATCTTTTTTTATATATTTGTGATATATTTGTGATATATTTACTCTGAAAAATAAGTGTTATCCGAAAAAAATCATAAAAATGAAAAGTTCAAGCCATGTTCAAAAAAAAAATACTCAAAAATTTAAACCTTTTTATTTAATAATATTATATTACCACGAAAAGTAACTGATATATTATTAATTAAAGGTGCTAGTTCAAAATAAACACATAAAGTGTATGTAACTTTCTGCCGATTTTCGAATTGCCTCTGCTTTCTGCTGTTTCCCTCACCTTACCGCCTTGCGCGCAGATTAAATGTCGCTCAAGCGGCATTTGGACAACGCGCGATGAAGTGAGGGAGACATTTGAAGGCGGATACAAATATTCTGAGAAAATTTATAAAATTGTTTTACAAATTCGTAACTTTTATTCTAATTAAGACTTTTGCGTATATATTTTTTAAAATAACGCATACTTAAATATCTATGTATCTTAATATTTCTTTTTCTCTAAAATTTCTTTGCTTTCCTTTACTTCTCAGGCAGACAGAATTATTTGATTCATTTAGATCTTAAATTTTTCTTTACTTGCAGCAATACAAATTAAATTAATCATTCAGTTCATTTTTCCTATTTTTGTTTTTGTTTCCTTTTTTTTTCTTTGATAAATTACTCTTTGTTTTATCTTAATTTAGTATTGCTCGTACATAAGAATGTCAATAAACACTTTATATCTACCTTCCTATCCCTCCTAAAAATTGTCTGTAAAATGTATATGTATAACAGTCTCAAGATATAAAATACTGTAAAGCAATTTCTAAAGTTATAAGCAATATTGAAACAGTCATAACCTCCGCACTGTTACATCTATGATCAAAGTAACAAAAGCACCATGTAACTTCGTCATAATAATCACGATGAATATCCAACTGATGAATACTGTTATTGACATAATGGCCTAATCGCACGTCTTTAGCAGCAGGTCTGCAGCCTTCATAATGATCCGCAGGAATATCCGTCCTGAAGCTACGTACAGAGCTTAAGCATTCACGGGTAATAATTGTTTCCGCTAAAAAAAAAGTTGCACAATTATGGGTGCTTTTCATTTAGTGACACAAATTGACACAAACATTATTCTATTTCTCGAGATTCAAAGAGTAACAAAGATAAAAAAAAACATATGCATTAATTTGTATCAACTTGTTGTCAAATGGAAAGTGCTCTAAACCTATATATGTGTAATTGTTTTATATATCTAAAAATCAAATAAAAATTTGGCATGTTGTTTGGTATTTTGTAAATATAACGTGAACAATTACCTCCTTTTCGTTCGATTATCTTTACACATTTGTCGTCATATTCTGGACAAGTTTCTCCCCAATACCATAACCAATTTAAAGGTGTTCCACATCCGGGATGATTACTGTTACATCTGTAACAGTACAAGCTGTCGCCTGCAATTGAAATCATGTTATTATTTCAAAGTAGCATAAGAGAATAATCTGAAATGATTCACTGCCACGCCCTTTAAAACGAACAATATACTGTACCCTGATTTGCCAAAACAATCAAGAGAAAAACTGTGAAAAATATTTGTTTCATCTTGTTATACTTCAACTCAAATGCTAACAAAACATTTACTTCACACTTTATGTTTTATATATGCACACAATCTTATATTATTTATAAACACTTGTAAACATAAGAAAAGATAGAAGCATGCACCTATGACAAATGAGTGCGTACCACAGACATGATAAAAATCATAGAAAGTGCGCGTCGCATGTTTTCTACAACAGTATAACCACAGTAAGGATATATAGTAGGGGGCGCATTCAGCAGAAAAGAGCGCTACGAGAGCGCTCGCTGTTATTGGTGTATTCTTCTAGATCATCCAATCAGAATTTTAAATCTGGAAGAATATACCAATAACAGCGAGCGCTCTCGTAGTGCTCTTTTCTGCTGAATGCGCCCAGGGACAAGGCCCCGTTTTCGGTTCAGCCGCGCAGATTTGCTTGCGCATCGTAAAACGACCATGTTTTTGGCAGCACCAATCCCGATCAAAGTAGAGAATCCATCGTATCTACGTTATAATAATGGAAAAACATAATCAAACTCAGTTAAAGCGGGGAGCACAGACTTTTGCATAACGCATAAAGCATGTGCATAAGGAATTTCATTGGCCCATTTTCTTATGCATGAGTCAATGGACCAATCAAATTCTTTATGTATATGGTTTATGCGTTACGCAAAAGTCTGTGCTCCCCGCTTAAGTGTTCATGGCGAGAAACACACACTTTTGCATAACGCATAAAGCATGTGCATAAGGAATTTCATTGGCCCATTTTCTTATGCATGAGTCAATGGACCAATCAAATTCTTTATGTATATGGTTTATGCGTTATGCAAAAGTCTGTGCTCCCCGCTTATCGCGTCACACTATGGACCTCGGCTTCTTTGATTTGATGTCGATGGTCACCGATCACGTGACTATCAGCCATTTTAACAGTTTTATGGACCTCTAAATTTTAACGAATCAAGAGACGTTGTAGTATTTCGCATATAATGCAACCACTGACACAGTATAAGTAAGTACATTAGTTTCACTCCGTGTCGGTACCTTTGATCTATTAGCATTTTCCACTGGGAAAACTGGTGCAGCACTAGCGCCGTGCTACCCAATCAGCATACCATATTTAAAAAATATTTAAAAAATATTGGTTTAAATATGGTATGCTGATTGGGTAGCACGGCGCTAGTGCTGCACCAGTTTTCCCAGTGGAAAACGCTATATGTGTCCTACAGTCAGTCATGTTGTTGGTTGTGCGAGGCCTTTGTTTTCACTGCACACGTCGACACCACAGTGACAACAGTGACACAGTATCCATACGTGACATCGACGCCATGATGAAAGTGGTGCGATTCGCACACCTATAAATTTTGGAGAGTAAAACTACTGTATGTACTTACCTATACTGTGCCACTGACAAGATAGCAGACAAACTGAATATTTTTTATTTATTTATGTGTATATAATTTGGGAATCGTTTGAGGAAATTTGGGAAAAGCATTTAAATATTTGGGTAATAGTATTTTTCTTGTTATTAACAAATTTTCTCATGCGACAAGTTAGCAGACAGCGATTTTATTTAATGAATTTTATGAATGGAATCGATCGGAAATCATTTGGGGAAAACGTTTTCATTATTATTTTCATTTGGGAACAGTCGCTATTTTATAATTCAATAGATTTACACATTGCGAAAACGAAGAAAGCTCGAGTGTAATGGGTGTAGGTAAGTGTAGTACAAAAAGGGATCTTCAAGTAGGGTGTATTAAAAAAAATAATAAAAAATAAAAAAAATAAATAATAAAAAATAATTTTATAAAAAATAATTTTTTTTCTAAGTGATGAAAACTGATCCCTTTCTTCAAGACGATATTTTGAAAAATATCGTTGTCTCGCAAAAATATTGAAAAATTAATTCTTGTCTTGATCTTGTTATCAAGATCAAAAATAAATCTCGTCTTGATTTCAATATTCTCGAAAATATTGATTTTTATTAAAAATTTTTAAATTTAAAAAGTATTAAATACATTAAAGTATTAAAGTATTAAATTTAAAAAGTATTTAAATGTACTAAAGACGAGACAAACGATATTTATGATTTTTTACTAAGATAAGATCATATTCTGATTGGTGAAAAACCGGTGGCCAGGGTAAAATTTACCCCCATAACCCGTTTTTCACCAATCAGCGTCCGGTGTCAAAGCGCTGTTGTCCGTATGAGGATCCGGGCTAAGGTGTCTGACTAGCGAAGCTTCTACCGGCCGCCACTAGGAGCGCGCAGAGAGATCTTTGCATCGCCAATTATAGGACTCTAGTATGTATACATACACGCTAAAGCGGGGAGCACAGACTTTTGCATAACGCATAAACCATATACATAAAGAATTTGATTGGTCCATTGACTCATGCATAAGAAAATGGACCAATGAAATTCCTTATGCACATGCTTTATGCGTTATGCAAAAGTCTGTGCTCCCCGCTTAACCGAAAACTGTCGGGGTGCGTTCTGAATGAACGTCCGGATGACAACTTTTTGTCCAAAATCGTTCCGTTTACCAAGACGTGACGTCATAACCGTGTTCTGGGGATCGATTCTGTATCTTGAAACAAAGTGAAAATTGCAAAAGTGAGCGAATATACTAGAACATTTATAATTTCATTGGTCAATACCTAGTAAATTTGCTCACTTTTGTAATTTTCACTTTGTTTCGAGATACAGAATCGACCCCCTGTTTTACAATTTCCAAACGCCCGGACAACTTTTCATCGTGCTCGAGACTCCGATGAGAAACGTCTCGCATGCGCAGAACGACATAATGTAATAAAGCGCGATGACAAAATATATGTAGAAGTGTGTTGTAGGTTAGATTAGGTTTATATTCCATCAGTTTTATATATTTAAATATACATACCAAAAATATATATTAAAATTTTGTATTTTTAGGTAAAACTTGTTAGATACAACTTAACCTAACGCAAAAACATTCCAGAATCGTTCCGTTTCACGAACCAATTTCGGTATGTGACATCACACTTCGTCTGGATGAACACTCCGATGTACTACAGAACGCATCCCCGGTGTCGTTAAGTAGCGATAACCAATGGTAAGGACTGTTCTAGGAGAAAAGTGCGATTCTTATTGGCTATCGCTACTTAACGACACCGACAGTTGTCGGTAAGAGCCCCAACACACACTTTTGCATAATGCATAAAGCATGTGCATAAAGAATTTCATTGGTCTATTTTCTTATGCATGAGTCAATGGACCAATCAAATTCTTTATGTATATGGTTTATGCGTTATGCAAAAGTCTGTGCTCCCCGCTTAAGGCCTATCGCACATGAAATGCATAACCGTGCATAAGCATAACATAAGGCCGCCGGACCAATGAGCATCCAGCATAAAGACGCCATATTGATTAACATAAGATGCTCATTGGTCCAGCGGCCTTATGTTATGCTTATGCACAGTTATGCATTTCATGTGCGATAGGCCTAAGAGCCCCAACACACTTTTGCATAACGCATAAAGCATGTGCATAAGGAATTTCATTGGCCCATTTTCTTATGCATGAGTCAATGGACCAGTTAAATTCTTTATGTATATAGTTTTTGCATAACGCATAATACATAGTGCATAAGAGAATCAACCAATCTGAATCCCTCCTTTCCTTCCACATCACGGAAAAGAAGAACTTTGATTGGCTGATTCTTTTATGCACTATGCATTATGCATTATGCAAAAGCTTGTGTTTGGACTCTTAAGCGGGGAGCACAGACTTTTGCATAACGCATAAAGCATGTGCATAAGAAATTTCATTTGTCCATTTTCTTATGCATGAGTCAATGGACCAATCAAATTCTTTATATATATGGTTTATGCGTTATGCAAAAGTCTGTGCTCCCCGCTTTAGCGTGTACAGAATAGGCCCCCAGATAATGAAAAATCAGGCCGTATGCCAGCTGTATGTACATACATACACCAGCGCGATGTTCGTCGCGCGCGACACGCGATATCTATGGCGAATTCGATTGGATTGCACCAGTGCAGTGTGATTGCACCAGTTCATCTTTTTTCCTTTTCCCTTCTCCTGGAAAGAAAAGGAAGAAAGATGAACTCAGGTGCACTCAGTGCGCACTAGTGCATCCAATCGAATTCGCCATAATCAGAGTCTAGCTTTAATTAGAATGAGAACATCGCTAAAGCTTTATACGCCTATTGGATATCGCGCGTCGCGCGCGACGAACATCGCGCTGGGGTGCAGCTGGCATTATGCCTAGTTCATACTGGATGCGATGGGCGATGAACGACGAGCGATAACCAATAAAAGCTTTGCTTTAGCTCACACGACGATGTAAAGAAGAGTTCTTATTGGTTATCGCTCGTCACGCATCGCTCATCGCGCCTAATGTGAACTAGGCATTAGATGACTGCGCATCCACGAGAATGCTATACTTGTGTTTTTATTATGTTTAAGTTCTAAGGTAACGCGTTGCGTGCAAGGGTTAAAACTTAAAACGATTTCGTTGTCAATAGATGTTGCAATTTGTATGGTGCACTCTGAGATCGCAGAACGTCAAAGGGATCAAATGCATGTCTGCGATCGACAAATCATTGATTGTCCCGCTTGCAAAAAGAAAATACAACAGGATGGTCAAGTATTTAAATCAATCAGAAGCTATTAACATTGACAAAGACCTATTTGAGAAATACAGATTTAGCGTAGATCAATTGATGGAGTTAGCCGGACAAAGCTGCGCTGTTGCAATTGCAAGATCTTACCCATTGTTGCTGGAAGACTCCTCTAGTAGAGTACTGGTGTGCTGTGGACCTGGCAACAACGGTGGCGACGGCCTGGTTTGTGCGAGACACCTCAAGCTCTTTGGATACTCACCAGAGATCTATTATCCGAGGAGGACGAATAACGAGCTGTATCAAAGACTGTTGCATCAATGTATCGAGAATGGTGTTCCTATACTAGAGAATCAGTGTATCGAGAAAGCAACTGACTCGACAGTTTTGCACAAATACGCGATTGTAGTGGATGCTCTCCTGGGATTTAGTTTCAGACCGCCAGTGAGAGAGCCGTTTGTCCATATTATCGACATGTTAAAAAGCACTACAAGCGTGCCTATTTGCAGCGTGGATATACCGTCGGGTTGGGATGTCGAGAGTGGCCCACCCAAGGACGGTGGCATAAAACCGCAAATGCTGATCTCTCTAACGGCACCAAAAATGTGTGCGTCAAAGTTTAATGGGAAATTTCATTATCTAGGTGGACGATTTGTGCCTGAGAAATTAGAATCACAGTATAACCTCAATCTACCGAAATATACCAACACAGACTTTGTCGTTCGACTGCAATGACAAACGTTTACAAATCCAGTTCTGTGCATCAGAAAAATGCATTTAAATTTATCATATGACAAACTGTCATTACATATTCGATGAAAGAAACATTGAAACATATTTCTGATCAAATGTAATTTATATTTCTCGTTGTTTTCTTATTGTTTACGCGGGTGTAATGATTTTGATTATACATAATTATAAATTACATATCTGTGAATTTATATGTTTAACTATTCTTAAATATAACCAATCTTTCTAGAACAATCTTAAATTTATTCAAACGCACATTTTAAATATGGATAGCAAGTTTTTGCAGATCATTTTACATTTTTGCTATATATCTTGATGTTAAAAACATTGCTAATTGCTTATCAGGGAGGGAGGGGAATGGAAAGTTACTTTTTAAAAGTACCAAGTTACAGTTATTCGTTACCGAGAGTAAAAACTGTAACAAAGGTACTGTTACTAGTTATCGCTTTTTAAAAGTAACTTGTTGGGTAACTTTTTGTTATTTTTCCGTTACTTTTTAAAAATCAGTCTGAAAATGTACTTTTGTAGTATTTTTGGTTAAACGTTAATAAAAACAATATATATAGCATATATAACACTGACAATATATGTATAGTTTTATTTTTTAGTTTTTTTTAAACATAATTTTGTAATTCTACAACCTGTAAAATATGCAGCAAACTGAGATATACACAAGAAGATACATATGTTCGATGTATATCACATAGAAGATATAGAAGATAGAAGTGCAAAATAATTTCTGAAATAATGGTACTGTATATATTTTTCAACTGTCAAAGATCACTTCCGGATCGCTGCAGCAGATGACAGCTAAAATATTTCGGGAATTTTTTTATACTTTGTAGAAAACTAGAAGATTATATAGAGGATTGTATAGGACTATCTGAATCACAATATAAGTTAGGGTGCAGTCACATGGAGTCAGAAATAACGGAACGGAACAGTAACGGAACATTGATAGAAAAGAGATAGAACAATCCTATCTCTTTTCTATCAATGTTCCGTTCTCATTCCGTTCCGCTATTTTTTTCTCCATCGGGACGCACCCTTAGAAGTTAAAAGAAAAATTAAGAAATACACATAATATCTTTATTATAATACAGCTATATCTTCACTTAATCTATACTTTTAGCTGTAAATCAAATATTTTGATAGAAAGAAAATTATAACGCTATAATTAAAATGTATAACAGAAGTTTTGCAAAAAGGGATGTTTTCCAATTGCTCAACATAAATGTACAGAGTAAAGCTTTGTACATACACAGCTCAATTAGAACAAAATCTGTACAATGTTTAGATTAAAGTTGCGGTCGAGTTGCCACTATACGAATGCTTTGAAGCGCTTCTTGATTGGTCAATTTGTAAAATTCTTTCTTTTGATTGGTCAATCAAACGCTTCAAAGCATTCGTAGTGGCAACTCGACCGCAGCCTAAGTTAAACTAAATGTAACTTGTACGCCTGTATCAAATAAAAACACTCGTCCTACAATCACATTTATAGCTGTCGTAATTATACAATACGATACGACTCCTTTTATCTCCTTATGTGGAGCATAGGACGTCTATAGGCCTCTTCCTCTTTTGTCCGAGGCCTATATTCGTTTCTCGAATCAGATTGTTTTTCGGATTTGTGGGTGATTGATCCACAGAATCCTACCTCAGTCAGATATTAGAGACAAATATCTATAACTAATATGTATACTGATGTATAGGACCTACAGTTTAACGCCGAATCCGAACGGCGCTGATGATCATAGATCTTTTGATCACCAGGTAGAGCCATTTTTTGGCTCATTAAACGCGAAAAATCGCGTTTGGGCGCACGTGGGATTGAACTCGGGTCTACATATCGCGAGTCAATCGCACCGAGCGGTGAGCCACTCGACGCCACTGTCGTAATTAATAACATATAATTATTATATATAACAGAATAACGTGTTCAATAGTATGCAAAGTAACGATAAAAGTAACTGTAGGGCCTTCTACAATAAACCATAAGTCATAAATCGGAAGTAAGAAACTAAAAATTGACGACTGTGATTGATTCATTCCTAGCTTATGACATATGATTTGTGCCTTAAGGTGCTTTTTCATGCGCAGCACGCTGCAGCAGCAATTCGTTACTATTGGTTAAGAATTTTATGTAAGCTAGATGACGCACTTCCGGCGCAAAATACATTTTGCCGCAGTTCGTTGAAGTTGAACCGAACGAACAGCAAGCAGCAAGCGGCAAAATTATTTATTGCAATAAATATTAGGAAAATTAACGAAGAATGGCTTCGGATAAGGTACGAATGTTTGTAAATTAGATCATTTTATACTTTACACTTTACTTTTTCAAATTTATGGTAAAGTATAAAATGATCTAATTTACAAACATGTATCCGTACCTTATCCAAAGCCATTTTTCGTTTATTTTCCTAATATTTATTGCAATAAATAATATTTTTATAATAAAACGACGGACATATTGTACGCTTTCTCGATTTTGCCGCTTGCTGCTTGCTGTTCGTTCGGTTCAACTTCAACGAACTGCGGCAAAATGTATTTGCGCCGGAAGTACGTCATCTAGCTTACATAAAATTCTTAACCAATAGTAACGAATTGCTGCTGCAGCGTGCTGCGCATGAAAAAGTACCTTTAGGCTTATTGTAGAAGGCCTTTAAATTTCGTTACCGTTATCCAAAAAATGTAACTACGACCGGTATTCATAATTAATTTTTATATATTCAAGACCATCTTAAATTCAGTCTTGAGGAGTTACGAACCAATCAGAGGACCGCTTTAGCATCTTAAGACATTACTTAAGACAGTCTTGAAATAAGAACCGACTATGAATACCGGCCTACGTTACCGTTATGGGCCTTCTACAATAAGCCATTACTTAAGTTTTAAGTGTTAAGCCCATTCTACAATTGTGTAAGCGTAATTGTAACTGGTTGTAGTTGTAAGAATTAATCAATCACAGTCAAATATGAGGAGAATATTCGACTGTGATTGGTTAATTCTTACAACTACAGTAAGTTACAATTACAACTACACTTACACAATTGTAGAATGGGCTTTAAATCATAAGAAATTTACCAATCACAATCGAATGTGAGAAGAATAATCGACTGTGAGTGGTCAATTTCTTATGACTTAATACTTAAAACTTAGGTAACCCCGGATCTACAATACGTGTTTTAAGCCCTAAGCTGTAAGAAATTAACCAATTACAGTCGAATTCGAGGAGAATAATCGACTATGAATCGTCCATTCCTTATGGCTTAAAGCGGGGAGCACAGATTTTTGCATAACGCATAAAGCATGTGCATAAGGAATTGCATTGGTCCATTTTCTTATGCATGAGTCAATGAACCAATCAAATTCTTTATGTATATGTATTATGCGTTATGCAAAAGTCTGTGCTCCCCGCTTAAGGCTTAAAACTCTATTGTAGATCCGGGCTAATGGTTTATTGTAGAAGGCCTATTACAGTTACCAAAAAAAGAAAGTATACGCAGTTACCAGTAAAGTTACCAAAAAAGTAACTTGTAACTGTAAAGGAGCCTACAGACCAGAGCGGCGCAGCGGTGAAGCGGCGAGCGATAGCCAATGAGAGCCATGCTTTTACGCAAAAGCTGCATTCAGCAGAAAAGAGCGCTACGAGAGCGCTCGCTGTTATTGGTATATTCTTCCATATTTAAAATTCTGATTGGATGATCTAGAAGAATACACCAATAACAGCGAGCGCTCTCGTAGCGCTCTTTTCTGCTGAATGCGCCCAATGTCGTTATCGTTAACTAGCGACAGCCAATGGCAGGACAATCCTAAAAGAAAGCGCGGCTCTCATTGGCTGTCGCTAGTTAACGATAGCGACAATCATCGATAAAACGTTTAAGAGAATCCCGCAACTGGTCTGTAAGCTCCTTAACTTCATTACAAGTAGAGTCCCAGATATCAGAGAAGCGCAACCGATGTTCCGCACCCTGATTGGCTGATGACAGTCAGCCAATCATGACATTCATTCATTGGTATTAAAAATGGCTGACTAATAGACGATTGATGGATTTTATAGTTCGTCTGCAAACGACGCCATTTTTAATACTGTTTTTAGTAATTTTGCGATACTGACTTAAGCCGGTTGCGCTTCTCTGATATCTAGGCCCGGTATTTATAGTCAGTTCTTATATTCAAGACCATCTTAAGCTCAGTCTTGAGGTCTCACAAACCAATCAGAAGGCCGCATTAACGATTTGAGACATACTTAAGGGTTGGATTATACTAGCCGTAATGTGTTAACTTATGCTGTAATCTGTAAAAATTGACCAATTATAATCGATTATTCCCCTCTCATTCGACTGTGATTGGTCAATTTTTACAGATTACGGCATAAGTTAACAGTTTACGGCCAGTATAAATCAACCTTAAGACAGTCTTGAAATAAGAACCGACTATGGCTGCGTTCCGTTTCAGGCATATGCGCGCATTTTATATAGTGAGCGTCACGTATACTATAGGGGAATGCGCGCATATGCGTGAAACGGAACGCAGCCTGAATACCGGCCTAGGACTCTAGTAACGAGTTACTTCCATTCCCTGATGCTTATTCGGTAAAATGATAAAATAACAATCATGCTTTTTCTTTTTTTGTCAAATTTTCCTCAGTTGAAGAATGGTGCCTTCTCACTGCCTTCTACCGTTATCTGCGCGGATACAAATACTTTCAGGTACTTTATCGACCAAACGTTACTAAGCAAGCCCAGCAGGTGGCGACCTCACTCTAGCCTTGAAGTAGTTGGGAAAGCTTCGCTTTCTTCGCTTTAAAAGCGAAAAAAAATGGCGTAGGCGGTGTAGGATTTGTAGAAACTGGAGAGATAGACGTCCTGCAAATCTGCAATCTACATTGCCGTTGTATATTATATGTGTGGAGGGAAATGTACATTTAATATATTTATGAAATATATGCCTTGATAACGTGTAATTGCGCATAAAAAAGTGACGTTTTTCTTTAAGAGGAGGCACGAGAAAAGAGGCTAAATTTTGCAGCACATACCTAAGTCTGATAATTAATTCTAAAATTAATTGCTAATTGTGATTACATCATTTTTTTCAAGGACTCACGAGTATCTCATTCTACAAAATGGTACACATATGATAACTCTACAATTTTGTTTGATAACTGATTAATTGTTCATGAATTGCATACACTTTCAGGCACAAGAGGTTGAGGAAACTATGAAACGAATTCAGTCTCACAAGGGAGTAGTTGGAACAATAGTGGTAAACGCGGAAGGTATTTTATTTTTACATTTAAGAAACATGATACCATATTTATTCGCTATTGTGAGAAAAACTGCATTAAATTTTACATTTTGATTTCAGGTATTCCAATAAAATCAACATTAGACAACACAACTACAGTTCAGTATGCAGGTTTGATAAGTCAATTATCAGACAAAGCTCGTTCTGTTGTACGCGACCTGGATCCAACCAATGATTTAACTTTCCTACGTATCCGTAGCAAAAAGCATGAAATTATGGTCGCACCAGACAAGGAATTTATATTGATAGTGGTACAAAATCCTGTTGATTGATATCTAAAGGATGCACAAACATATTGCAAAATTCAAGTTTATTCCCTTAGAGTAATTTAATTGATTAATAATTATATATTTATTCTATGTTTATGCTATGTTTGATTTTAATATTTACTCAAAAAGTGAAAAAATAAAACTTGATTATTGTTTAATCTAATGTTTTATTTCCAAGTTTAGCAGAACTTTAAGTTTTCATATTGTGTGTTTTCTTTAGTAATTAATATTTTATGGTACTTTTGCAAATCAGTTTTGTAATAGATTCTGAATATAAACACTAGTTATTCCTACATCTTTATATTATTTAACAGAACTACATATATATGTGCATATACACATTCTGTTCTATATATACCTAATTTCTACATATAATTTTTTTGGATTTTATATTGTTTAATATAAATTTATATTAATATTGTGTGGCGTCGAGTGGCTCACCGCTCCGTGCGATTGACTCGCGATCTGCAGACCCGAGTTCAATCCCACGTGCGCCCAAACGCGATTTTTCGCGTTTAATGAGCCAAAAAATGGCTCCACCTGGTGATCAAAAGATCTATGATCATCAGCGCCGTTCGGATTCGGCGTTAAACTGTAGGTCCTATACATCAGTATACATATCAGTAGATATTTGTCTCTAATATCTGACTGAGGTAGGATTCTGTGGATCAATCACCCACAAATCCGAAAAGCAATCTGATTCGAGAAACGAATATAGGCCTCGGACAAAAAAGAGGAAGAGGCCTATAGACGTCCTATGCTCCACATAAGGAGATAAAAAGAGTCATTATATTAATATTGTAGAATATTTATTTTATCACATAATGTTCTGTTAATTTATGATTCTATTCCACAATTGACATCTTCGTAATGTTTTTATCATTACTTTATATTTTTTATGTTAAAGTATAATTATGTGATACTTATATGTAAATGTATTCATTAATGAAAAAATGAAGAAATATGAATTAGTATAACACAGAGTTAAAAGATGAGTATAAAATGAAAAAGGAAAGAGAAGAAACAAATTATATAATTGGAAATTAATTTATTCAGTTTGAATCACACGCAATAATCGACAAATAAAAGCTTTATATATTTTTTCAATTGTTTTATCGTACATTTGTAATAAACATTGACAAATAATGTATTAGAACATCACAATGTACTTTATTTTTTGTATTTTAATATATTTTATTAAAAATGTGTACTAACTTTTCAAAGATTAAAAAAATTGTGTATGAATACAAAGTTGATAAAAATTTATTGCAAAATTAGGAAAAATATAAATTTAGATATATAATAACAAACACATTAAACATATATATATCGTAAGTATTATTTTTTTATTTTAAAATTAAATAATAAAATGAACAAAATCTTTGTCAATTTAATCATCCTGTAATAAAATTTTTTATAATATAAATATATTAAAATAATTTTTTAAATATTTTTCCTTTTTTATTTTAAATACTCAGAAAATTGTTGTTTTATTATATAAATTTATTATTATATAAATGTATTATTATATAAATTTTGTATTATAAAAATGTACAGTCTTTAACATTAATATCACATAATATCTAACATCTTTCATTAAAAATTGTAAGTAGCGTTATATAGGATATAACATAAATTATATATCACTGTGAGATATTTTTTACGATTTAAATTTTAAAAAATATAAGAAAGATTCTTATCAAAGATTTCAATACAAAAAACAATATCTAGTTGGTTTCTATTGATCATAACAGCTATGTACTTACATTTCTGCGCAGTCTATGAGATATTTTAAAACTACGTTACAGATATACTCACAAAATGTAGCCTTGTCTATACATGATATATAAGGTCTGGTTTTTGTTCCTGCACTAGTTCAGACAACGCAGGAACAAAAACCAGACCCATAATATTATATGTATAAACAAGGCAACATTTTATATATTGGAAATACAAATTAGTTCGGTCCGTTTTCCAAAAGATGACCACCTCCAAAGACGAGTCATTTTTTCGAGATGAAATTCGAAAATTGCCTGAGAGATGGAAAAAAGTAGTAGCCAGCGATGGACAATACTTTAATTAATCTGTTCATTCATTTTGTTTTGAGAAACAAATGCATTTTTTTAACACAAATACGGACCGAACTAATTTGTACACCTAATATATATATATATATATATATACTTATACAGAATATTAAAAATATGGAATGATCTTATAAAGATACAAACGTAATCATATGTATATTTACTTGCTTTTGTAAAATTTTTATAAGTTTATATATATTTAAAAAAGTTGAATAGATATTTTATAAAGATCTTATTGAAAAACAGGATTGCCACAAATTTGTAATCGTAAAATTTCCTGACATTTCCCTGATTTACTGACAAAATTTTGATTTTCCCTGACCTCGAATGATACATACTTTGTAATGTTTCTTGTAATTTCCAACAATTGTATATACATGCTGATTTTTTGGAGAAATCGATTTCTAAAGAAAAAGGGGGTTGTCAAAAAAGATCACGGCAATGCGTAAAGGTAAACAATATAGGTCGCGTTCAACAGATTCAACAGTTTTACAACTGTTTTATGATTCTTTGTTGAGATAAGACTATTCCTTTAGATCTAAAAGTATAATTCAATCAGAGAGACTTAATCATAAAACGGTTGCAAAACTGTTGAGTCTACTGAACGCAGCCATACAGCTGCAGCTATTCTAATTTCCTGTCATTTCCCTGATTTCCCTGACTTGTGGCAATCCTGAAAAAACTTGATAAAATTACACACGCACACGCACGCATACACAATCTATATAAATATATATATATTTTTTTTTTAATACTGAGATCTTTTTCTTTTGAGATACATAATGTGTATCAAAAGATACTTTGTAAATAAGCTATAATAAAATTGATTATGATTTAATCTCCTTCGAATAAAAGAAAAATATCGGCAGTTACATAACTTGAAGTGAATTTGAAGTACGTTGTTTTTTTGAAGGGTGAAATCTAGTATAATACAATATTATTGCTATAATTCCTAGCAAAATGGAGATGAAACAAATAATAAAAAATACATTAAAATACCAAGCCTCCCTAACTTCAGGAGGAGAGGTATATCGCCACAACAGAATTGAGATAATATTTTCGACAAAGCACAGCATATAGAAACATAGATGTTTCCAAAATGTATTGCTATCTATGGTATTTAAATATATGAAAATATAAACTATCCCAATAACGGTTGCAAATAAGATAGAATAAATGCGTTCTTTCAATGTTGGCAGCATATGTGGTGGGCGACCATAAGCCCGACAAAACTCTAATATCCCATGGGAATTGACCAAAATCCATACAGTCATGATTAGCCAATGTATTGAGCAACCGAATAAGGTATATAGAGGCCAGATGCTCGCAATAACACTGAGAGATAAGATTCTTGCCACTGTAATCGTGATAAGTATAATCAGGTATAATCAGTAACTTTTTTTTTGTTAAGATACTTATCTCAATTGGAATATTATTTCATCTGTTAATTGTTGAATATGTACCTGTGATGCTAAAGTGCCATAGAAATTGTAACACAGTTCCTACAACACCGATATTCAATTTATTTTGTTGAGCTAATCGAATGCTACGATGGTAACTGGCCATTGCCCAACCCATGCTTGCAAGTGAGCTGACAATACTAGCTACTTGATGTACAACTGAAAAATAATATAAAAGGATATTAAAAGAATTGTTTAATAGGATCTATTACGTTAATATGGAACGTTTGAATAGAAATTTTCTACACCAAAAAATATACATACATTCAAAATTAATTTCATTGTGGTAATGCTTTAGCATCAGAGTTAGCTGTAGGATTTGTTGTGGTGCAGCTTCCAAGAAACATTCAAATACTCTCAACAAGGCAACATCTTGATCCTCTTTGAGCATCCTTATATAATATTTCCTTTCATTAACTCTATCTCCAGATTTCTTGCATTTACGTGCTTTTAAAGCACACTTCAAGGTTTCCCAGTAATGTATAACTGGTGCCAGTTGTAAGAAAATGGCGATTGTACAATATAGTCCATTTTTAATCAACAAATGCGTTGTTCTATAATCGTTTGATGAATCTGATGTACTGGAACTTGTCTATATCCAGCAACGGTAAAGATGAAATGGAGAGTAATCCTTTCAAAAATCGATGAAATTATACTCATTGGATTTCCATAAAACGAAAGAATCTGGCAGAAAAAAAACGTCGCTCTGCCTCGTAAACCGATAAAATGGCAGATAAAATATTTCTGTGCTATAGAATAAGATATCATAATGTTGTATACAATAGAGTAATTGAATGCGAATTCTTGGCTTGTTGTCTAAGATAAGTAATTGGAAAAGCAAAATTGTGGCCAAAATTCATTCGAAAATTATTTTGGGATCGCAATTTAACCGATCACAAGAGAACGTTTATTGTGAATTTTGCGTATTTAAATGCAGTATCTGAGGATTTTTTGAACGATATATTATCTTTCACATTGAAAGAAGCATACAAGATTGAAGACGCGAGAGAAGACTACAGATTTTAATATTTAAATCACGAGGTAATATTAATTTTAATTAATGAATCAAGTAAAAGATTAGTAAAATTTTTCAAAATTTATAGGAATTTTGACGACAAAAACGGAGTCGTGTCTACAGTTACCATATTTATTTCAAAGAAATGTTGGATTTAAATTTTAAAGAAAAACACAAAGATACTGTTTAAAAACACAAAGACTCACTACATTAAAAACAAAAGTACTGTCTAAAAACAGAAAAAGTAAAAGATAATAATTAAATTAATAATTAAATTTGGGGGGACTCTTTTCAGACTATTAGAGTTGCGTTTCAAAACCAACGATTGTTCGGCGCGCAATTTGGGGGGACTACGTATATATGGGTTAATTATTAATTTAATACACGTTAGCCTAAATGAGACGTTATTCTTACTTTGATAAATATTGCGAAGAATATTACTACGGTCGACCACCAGCCATCAAAGGTTTACTAAGGTAGGCTTCCACTACAATATCTTACTGATGAGTTCAGTAGTGGAAGCCGGGACGAAACGCCAAAATTACGTGATATTCTTCGCAATATATTAGAATAAATTAATGATTTTAACAAATTTATTGCAGGGAATGGAAAGTTACTTTTTAAAAGTAACTCGTTACAGTTACCGTTACTCGAAAGGTAATTTTTCGTTACTGTTCCGTTACTTTTTAAAAATCAATCTGAAAATGTACTTTTGCAGTATTTTTTGTTTAAACGTTAATAAAAACAATATATATAGCATGTATAACATGCAGCAAACTGAGATATACATATGTTCGATGTATCACATAGAAGATAGAAGTGCAAAATAATTTTTGAAATAATGGTACTGTATATATTTCTTAGCTGTCAAAAATTACTTCAGGATCGCTACAGCAGATGACAGCTAAAATATTTCGGGAATTTTTTTATACTTTGTAGAAAACTAGAAGATTATATAGAGGATTGTATAGGACTATCTGAATCACAATATAAGTTAGAAGTTAAAAGAAAAATTAAGAAATACACATAATCTCTTTATTATAATACAGCTATATCTTCACTTAATCTATACTTCTAGCTGTAAATCAAATATTTTGATAGAAAGAAAATTATAACGCTATAATTGAAATATATAACAGAAATTTTGCAAAAAGGGATGTTTTCCAATTGCTCAACATAAATGTACAGAGTAAAGCTTTATACACAGCTCAATTAGAACAAAATGTATATGATGTTTAGATTAAATTAAACTAAATGTAGCTTGTACGCCTGTATCAAATAAAAACACTCAATGTCCTACAACCACATTTATAGCTGTCATAATTATTATAACATGTAATTGTTATATAACAGAATAATGTGTCTAATCGTATGCAAAGTAACGATAAAAGTAACTGTAAATTTCGTTACCGTTATCCAAAAAATGTAACTACGTTACAGTTACAGTTACCAAAAAAGTAACTTGTAACTGTAACTTCATTACAAGTAACGAGTTACTTCCATTCCCTGATTTATTGGCTTGTAATTCTGTTTCTCTTTATTAGTTTTAAATTTATTGAGCCTTATTACAAACATATTTTAATTCTTTAAAATTTGATAGCTATAAAATCACAACACATGAAATTATTTTTAATATCATATATGATTTTTTAAATTACGTAATTTTAAAAAATAAGATTATGATTTGGAACAATCCATTATGTAATTTACTTGTTTTAATTACATGATTTAGTTACGTAACTTCGTGATGTGATTTTTTTCAGTAGTTCCTTTACGTGACCATGACATATATCCTAACCTAAATAGTCGTGAACTTTAACGATTAATATCTTCGTTTTCGGGGCAGAACAACATTTTTTTTCTGTCAGATTCTTTCGTTTTATGGAAAATCGTGGCGAATGAGTATAATTTAATCGATTTTTGAGGTTACCATCCATTCACCTTTATCCCAACAATATATGTTACTTGAAATCTGAGAGAAATAAATAACAGAGTTAAATATATACATATTGTTATAATACTTTACCTCTTTATCTTGAAGCTGCATCCTTCTGCTGATAACAACGTTGATGAAAGAAGGAACGAGTATGAGGAACATTGTCCAAGCAAAGTACGTTACTTTACCGCCCAGGTAGTATTGAATGGCGATGTTATAATCGAAACCCATGTCGACGACATGCATTATTATGGAGCAGACCAGCAAGAATATATCGAGTCTGGAAATACGGGGAGTATCCGTCGGCAGGTCAGTGAGATCAACATCGAAATGGATACCTGGAAACACGCTGGCGAGATGGAAAGGACGACGTTCGCAATTTCTCTCCTCCATAGTTTCCTCCTCTTTACTTTCGAATATTCTAATCAATCTAATCTTCTTCTCTTCTTCCTTAATTAATGGTTCCCGCCTCCAAATAATGAAATAGAAGGTCGATACGGCCAGATCACGTCTTTAATAGGCCTGTTCTTTTATATACGTTTGTTTCACTTCAACTTATTGCACTGTCTGAACTGGTGCAAACAGTGCAGGCAAAAAGAACAAGCCTAACGTAAACGACGTAAACCGACTGATCTCTATTATATACTAGATAGGGGGGTGTTTACGATAAATGGTCGGATTTCCAATCCGATCGAACAGTGGTACTCAGTTGGTGCATTTCAAAAAACTCCCTAGCTTAATCGGATTGGATTTTGGTGCCTGTCTCAGGAGGTAATCGGATTGAGTTGAACGGATCGTGAGAGAGGAACAATTTTGCGAATTTGCGTATGAACTTAATAAAAGCAGAGTGCATAAAGACAAAGAGATACATACGTTAACTATTATTGTAATAATTATTGTGTATTTTATTCTAAAATGTATATCAATAATGGAAATATGTATAGTATAGTAAAAGAATTCTGGAAATTAAATATATAACCTCACTTTATTAATTTTTTATAAAATATGTATAATAAAATATATTTTTGCAAAAGTATACAGCCAATTTTTAAATATTCCATACAACAAATATATCCATCCTTATATGTATCCTGTGTAAATTAATAATTTATCAAATAAAATTAAAGTTGAAGGACTCTTTATATGAAAATAATAATTAAAACGAGGTGAAGGACAATGAGAGTCAATTCGTAAGTAAACAAGAAAGCGATTATAACATAAAAATTATAATATGAATTTTTAAAGAAAAAGAATACAATATAATACTTAGCCGCTTTAAAATTAGAATATCGGTCAATATATAATAGTATAAAAAATCGCTCGATGTAAAATATCGTAACAATTAAGTTTCGACTCTTGGTTTGAGTCCTCTTCAGACGTTCAACAAAAATTCCTTAATCCAATATAATTGAGACAACACATTTCTCACTGACTCCTCGATTTCCCTCTTCGTTACACAACATTGACAATACAAGATGGCAAAGTCGTATTGAAACAATATATCTGTAACTTGGCATGAAAACAAAATCAAAAGAAGTGAAAATAATGAAATTCAACAAAAATGTCTTACTCACCAGCGAAAACGATTTGTCAGTTTATAATATAAAAGTTAAATAAAATAAAAGAAGTCATAGAGTAAAATGAACAAAAAAGTAAAAATACGAAACATTTTCACAAAACTTATTGTATAAAATATAAAACGAATGCAAGGATTAAGTGTACTAAGTCGTTTAACTGTCTTGCAAATACTGTGATATAACAACAAAACTAAGCAGTGTGTCGATTGTCGATAACAAAAGATCAAACCTTATTTACAATGGGAATATATGAATCGTGAAGACCTTCAGTGTCCGTTTGTAAGTTAAGACTATTTTTCTGCTTTTTAATGTTAAGCATCTCAGAAATTATTCGCTTTCTATAATTAGGTTCTTCATCTAAAATTTTAACATCTTCCCATTGAAAGTCATGATCATATTGCAATCTGTGATCCGTAATAACCGAACGGTTAGAAGTATTATGTCTAATATGGCTACG